CACCCCACACCCACCCTCACCCCACACCCACCCTCACCCCACACCCACCCTCACCCCACACCCACCCTCACCCCACACCCACCCTCACCCCACACGCACACGCACACCCACACCCTCAAATGTAGTCAGTTAGCTGCGTCTAGCAAATTCTAGTTTCAAATATCCTATGCTGCACATGCATCATATGTGATGCACGGACGTCTCAGTCAAAAGTACCGTGCATCAGATATGATGCACTACACAGTCAACGTGTTAAAAAACCATTTTCTGACTAAATAGCAGATACGGGCAGCCCATGTAACAGATACCGTCTGTTTTTTAAAAAGTGTTCGATCAAAATAGGCGAATACTTTTGAATCCTATTAAAACTGTCGGAATCGGGATTTTTTTCGATGCAGCAAGACAAAATTGATATGCCCGAGCTGTCTGTACTAGTCGTAGAGACCAAATCGGCTTCAGTTATGAGATAAATTTTTATTTTAGCTCGCGCTGTAAATATTTTTACTAGTAAAAAATATTCTGAAACTGTTTTCTTCTCGATTGATTTGAATTTTTTCTAATAAATAGTTCAAGTTTGGGTAGAAAACACTACTTGCAATCGTTTATAAATGAAAACGAAAGTCGTCAACGCCACAGACGGTAGTACAAACAAATGTGCGACGTGAAAAGTTAAATATCAAGCTTCGTGATTTATTTATGCATCAATTGACTGAAAAATAATTTTATATTAGTGCCTGATTACATTTTAGCATGATGAATGTCAGTAATATCATTTGTGACATTTTGACTCTATGTTGTCGAAATAAGAAAACCATTTTGAGAAAATATTATTTCTACATGTGATAACCTTACAGAAACTGTAAAAATCTGCCTCGACAATTTGCTTAATGATTTGTATTTAGCCGTTTGATTATTATCATCATCCAATTAATCAGTAAACATTATCAATTTTTTGTTTTTTAATATTGCTCTGTTCAATGTCTAAGAAAAAACATTTGCACTTTGGTATTGATTGTTATTCATCATCTGTAGTATTTGTTTCAAATGTTGTTGTCGACTAACAATTATGTTCCAATAATGTGAAATTAATACACATTTTAGTTACACCTATACGTCTGATTTGACTTGCCCAACTCTATCAAATAGTCTTCTAATCTTTCTTCGAAAATCATTTTTCAATATAGATTTTGTTAATGTACCAAAACGCTAAACCTTTTATGAAACTGAAAGATAACACTAACAGAATGTTATTACTTCGAATTTTCATAGTGTCTAATTAAATAATCATCATTTCAAGCATCTATGATTTAGCTGATTATCAATATCTGTTTCTCTTTTTATTGATGAAGAAACATAATAAAAAATAAAAATATTTAATATGAAGGAAAACGACATTAGCGGTAATCTAATGAAATGAAGCAAATGCATCAACTCAACTAGAACACATTTCTCATGAAGCATTTTGTTGTTGATAGTTGCAACGTTCAGTAAACGAAAACATCTACACTAGATGAATTTCCACAAGTGATCTACATGCAGCTTTATATTGTCGAACACATAACCTGTCACTAATATACATGAAAAAAGAAAAAAGAAATTTGAAGCTTAAAAAGTAAGACTTCGCAGTTGGGTGCGGCATTTCCAAAAGCCTACATGACTTGTGAACAGCTCCTTTACAAAAACAACAATGGCAGTCATGTCAATGATATTGATTTTCAGTATTGTTATCTTTTCGGAATTAAACAAGAATTAGTTGCAGAAAAAAAATGTTCCAGTCGATTTAATTAGAAAATATTTTCATCTTCATTATTTTGTGATGAATTTGCTATCAATGACGTTGATGTGAGTTATTGATTTGATTATGTTAGATTTTCTTTAGATGATTTTCTACAATAAACAAAACAAACAGATGTTACAAATTTAAGTTTTTTTTGGTTTTTTTCTTCTAAATGTCGAATATTTTTACTTTGAAAAAAGCCATCTGTTGATAAATTGAATGTATTGAAAAGATTAAGAATTAATTTTTATGCTTGTGCTAAGAGTGTTGTTGTTTGAGTAACTATTTCTTCTCGATGTATTCCATTTAAAGATAATTCTGTATCATTATTTTTCTTTACAAATGCATTAACAAGTAATTTAGCTATTGTTTCAATGGCTGTTAAATTATCAAGAATACTTTAACGATCAATTGAATTATTCATTTGTTTATCGAATCTAAAAAGAAAAACAAATTTTCCAAGTTCAATCTATACATTTAGGCCCCGACCAGACTGAAAAAAATAAAACAAATTAAGCAACGTGATTGGTCTATTTCGATTTAAATCGTCTTTTTGAGACGATTTATTCGTTAATTCCGTTTTGATTCACTTTGAATTAGTCGGTCTGTTCGGGCCCTTATACACGCTTCAGATCAATATACAAATAAATAACTAATAGAAAAAGAAAAATAATTACATAAATCGATTAATGAAAAAACAAAATTTTTTCGTTTGTTTTTTGTTCTTTCGTTTTTACAATAATTTTACTGCTTTTTTCGCTTTATTTAAATGAAAGACATCGTTCACAGGAGAAAAAAAAATTAAAATTAAATAAAACAACATCACTGTTGAGACACATAAAAATAACAAATAAATTTTTAATTAACGAGAATAAAAAAACAAAAAAAAGAAATTCAAGTTTGTTTAATTTGTTGAAATAACCATAGTTGACAAAATTATTGTCTATTACTTATTTGATCATCATCGAGATTTTCTAATACATAAATATTCAACATTAACATGTCGATTTATCGTCGATTTTGAAGAAAAACGAAAAATATAAATTGTCGTATAATAAACATTATAAAACAAATACTCCAAACTACTAAAATAAGAATTAATATAACCAAAACAATGGTTTGATGAGAAGCATCTAATTTGAAAAATTTATCACGAATTTGATCTATTGGCGATTTATACCACCAAATTGAAATAGTCGATGGAGATACAAGTGGATGAAGACAAAGACCTTTAAAAAGAAAAATGAATGAAATCTTTTTTTTTCTTACCATCCCATATTGATGAACATTGACAACAATCATCAGTAGTGACATTTGATGTACAACAAGATAAACATTTATGAGTAGAAATATCAAGTGACATTGGATAAGAACATTGACGACAATACGAACCAGAATGTAAACGTTCAAGACAATTGTCTGTACATAATTTCTATATCTTTAATAAAGAAAATTTTTATTTTTATTTTTTAATTTATGTTTAGTAAATTATAAGAGCTTTGACAAAAGCCTTTTCATATAATTATGATTAATATTCTATGCTAAATATGAAATCGTGCTTTGATTGTTGTCATAAAATGTATATCTTACGAGAAAATGAATAGCTTAGGAGTTCGGACTATATGTATCATGTACATCCAAATGAACTATGAATTTCCTGAAAAGAGTTCAGGTCCTTCTCAAGAACATTAGAAAAATTCCTTTCGAATTTCGATTTGAAATTTAGCACAGAAACAGATCTTAACGAGAACAGGTCATTGTGGAAGTTTTAGATCTTTTGACTTGCTCTTTTCCTCAAATCAGAACACTAAATCTGCCGATGTCTATGAGAAGATCAAAAGACAAGTTTTTATCATAGGTATTTTTTAGGATAGAAACAACGAAATTATCTGAGAAACCTGCACAATAAAATATTCTCAATGAGCCCAGTCGCTATGAAAGTTTTAACTCAAAATTTGAAAATGAGTTGTCCTTGTGTTTCTGAGAGAGGCCAAGGTATCAACTAAAAGAATACCGTAAAAAATGCACTATATGGGCAACAATATGTTAAGGATTTAAACGAAGCATATCATCTCTATTCAAATGCAATTAATCGCTGATGTGATTATCATTTTCGTAAGGTTTTACACGTACGCAACAAAAAATATCAGAAGTAAAGTCGTATCTGACTATTTCTTTGGTAGTATTCTCGAAATGTCATCAGTCTATTCAGTAAATATCTGAGAATAAAATTCATAATTTAAGAAAATTTCGAATGTTCCACGAAATGTTTTTCATAAACAATTTCATTCAATATGCCTGACGACAAGCATAGACTGTAATGCCAATCTATTCAGTTATCAGATCTTTTTTAGATATTCAATATTCACTAATAATAGTGAATATAATATATTGGCGAAGTGAGAAAAAGTTTGAAGGCGGGAGAGGGGGGAATAATATATTCTTCCGATGTTAGTTACTGATCGATCAGATCCTGAGAATGCTGGACTTTGCCTTTAGTTGTACATATAGAAAAAACAACAACTTTTTATGCAGTTCTTAATGTATTTTCTACAAAAGCTAAAATTTTCGTCTCTCATTGTTAAAATACGAACGAATTTTAATTCTTGTAAACATCTATCATCTTCCTTGTGTTTGACTTTCTGCCTTTAATTTTTAAAATTTTATTTTTTTATAACTATAGTTTCATAGATCTTGTAAATGCGAACGGTGAAACAAGTAAAATAGAATAAGAGGGAGAGATATAAAGTGAGGAGACACGAAGAAGAATGAATATGATATAAAAAAAAAATAGAAATCACTGAAAAAGAAATAAAAATTGCCAAAAAAAAGATGATTAGCATAAAACATTGGATAAAGAAGGACAAAGAACTATTTTCTCTATAACTTTACATTTTATGCTATATTACATTGCTTTTAGCTTGATAGATGAGACTATGCATTTGTTTTTTATTTATTAATTGAAAAAAATGTTTCTGGAAAATTTCGAAGTACTGACATCTCATTCATATCATAATAAAGAACGAGAAGAAAAGAAGAATAACCCTGTCTTTCAGCTAGCTCGCGGTGTAAGATGTTGCATAGAAGCAGTTTCAATTAGACCTATATCTTCTCTACAACAATGGCTTACTTGAGCTTCTCATACACATTAACCCTTTGACCGCCACCGCCCTTTATAAATGTCAGGAGCCTCATCTTTGCATGAACTAAAGTAATCATTCATAATGTATGGTTTTTTTACACACATTTGCGTAAAAACAAACGTTGGGCAGCTTGCGCTTCAAAATCCACCATTTTATTAAGGCACACTGTAGAATTGTTCCATAAAAAACGAATACATTTTCTGCAAAACCGTTTCTTCCTTCTCTTATGTTGGCGGTCAAAGGGTTAACTAACCGTAAGAGCAGAGTTATGTCACAAAATAGTCAGCACACTATCAAATGGATGACCTGAGACAAACAGCTGTTAGTAATTTGTTCTGAATCATTTCATGACTGGTGATACCGAGGCTTGCACATAGTACTTTACAGATACGTATCGAACAATGTAGCTACGTAGATATAGGGGCTTACTAGGAGATCGGACTAGAGCAAGGAGCAGAGAAAAGTCAACTAAAAGTCTTTTCAATTATGACCATATAGTCTACGAATCTTTTAGAAATTATCTATATTTAATATAACAATATTATTTCTCCGTTTGTTTGATTGTTTTTTTTAATGAATATATCAAAAATAACTGAGACTCAATTCCAATACAAACTCTCACTTCAAAGCAATCGTTTGATGAACATCAGAAAAAAAAATGCAACACTACTTCGCTTTGTTAGTTACTTACATTATCATCTTTATTGTAAAAATTTCCATTTGGACATAAATTCAAACATTGCTGTTGCTGTTCATCGAAACGAAATCCATCTGCACATGATTTACAATCATCTTCTGATGAACCTTAAAAACAAAACAAAACAAATACTTTTATATTTTTTCTTACCACAAAAAAAATCTATTTTTACCTGTATATGTACGACACATTGGATTACATTGAATACATTTGTTATTATTTGAATAATAACCATCTGGACATTTATCAACACACTGATCATTTAATAAATTTAATTTATTATTACATGATAAACAGCTTGTTAAATTCATGCATGTCACACACGGATCTTGACATGGTAGACAATGATTATCCATTTGAAAAGTACTATAAAATAAGTTTTAAAAAAAATGTAAAATCAATATACTTTTAACAAATAATGCAAAAGTCTTTCGCAAAATGTTCAGCACTATCTCAGACTGATGGACACATTTTCATATGAACATTTTTTTTATCAACCAATAGGTTGCTCACTTCTCTTTCCAACAATGTATGATAAAATAATTATATTTCATTCATAAAAAAAAGTAGTACCAGCACAATGTATTTATAACTTCTACTGTGATCCCTCTAATAATTCTATAAAAATTACGGTAAATTATTTCAACAACCAAAACGTTCTACTTAATATTTAAAATTTGAAACCACAAAAGATCACTCTCGAAGTAGTCGTTTGGTCAAAGTATCCAGTACGAATTCGAATAATATTGTTAAATTCGTAAATAAATCGATGCAGTCTAAGTCAGCGTAAAATAGCACGACAGTTTTCAATGCGCCAGTCAATAATTTCACGTATTCTTCGAAGATGATCATCAGTTGTTATAAGAAAACGTCGAAAATTCCGAAAATTGAGGGTGATCAGTAACAAATTCAAGTTCGACCAGAATTCTGACAAAGTATATCGCAAATTGTTACATGACTGTGATGGAATTATGAAAGAGGAAAAATACTTCAATTTGACGAAAAATAATGTCACAGAGAGTGGCTATTTCTATTCAATCGTTTCAGCTACAGCTCTTGCGAAAATCAAGTTTCAAAAGAAAGTGAAATTCGAATAAAAAATAATGATTTTGATGCCTATGTCATTGAAAAGATTTTTGATGTTTATGTTCACAAAAGCAAACAAGCAATCGATCAAGAAATATATATAAAAGTATATATTAATAAAAGACTGTTGTCTATTGTTGACAAATATCATGTCGATAGAAATTATCTGTTCTGGCCCGATTTATCAAGGGCACACTATTCAAATATTGCTCAAGAACATTTGAATAAGAAAAATATACCATTGATTTCTCGTTCTGACAATCCACACAACGTATCCCTAGCTCGTCTCATTGAAAGTGTATGAACTCGACTTGAACGAAAAATATATGAAAAAAATTACTCTGGTCGAAGAATACGGTGCGTATATATACGTAGCTGTATCTCTTCGTAAATACAGAGCCGGTTATAGGACCGTATTTATGATAGAATAAGACAAAATTGCGGCTTTTTATGGGGATCTATAATGGTTAACTCGGGTTGAAGCAAATAATGTTGATTATTTAAAGGGTAAAAGAACTTGATTGAGAAATGATGCAAGCCATGATGGAGACTATTCGAAAGAAACTTTAAGCGATGTAGTGAGATGGACTGTATTCAGTTCTCTAAATATAGATTTTTCAAAGACTTGCCATGCTCTTTCTAATAGAAAAAAAATTAATTTTTCATCTTTAAAAATGGTTGAACTGTGTAAATCAGCATTTTCCCGAAGACTTTTGTATTCGTTATTATTATTACTATTATTATTATTTCATTTTACCCCGATTGACATGTTGGTAAACATTTTCGACCGTCTATATGATATCCTTTGATTTCATCACATTGACTGCAATCATTTGCATTAGTACACAGTTTACATCCAATTGGACATAGTAAACAAATATTTGTTTGAATTTCATTTGTCTTCTTTTCACTTTCATACGAACCTGCTGGACATTCATTAACACAATGTCCATCACTAAGAAGTACTTCTGTTATTGGATTACAAGCAATACAATCAGTTGGATTTGCTCCTTTACATAGTGTACATGATGAATGGCATGTACGCATTTCACCTGTTTTACTATCAATACAATATGGTTTACCAATATGTTTTTCACAACGATGAGTATCAGGAATATAATCATAACCTATTTTACATGCTAAACATGATGAGTCATTTGATGATGTACAATTAAGACATGTTTCATGACATGAAAGACATTCAGAATTGCTTTTCGAAAGATAAAATCCTGGTGAACATGATGAAACACATGTATGATATTGAAGATAAGGAAATTTGCTTGTTTTATCACATGAAGTACATTGATAAGATTCATGTCCACTACAAGTTGAACATCGAAAATCACACCATCGACAACTGAAAAAAAATGTATGTTATTATTTTAAATGAATATTTAATAACAACAAATATAGATTTACGTATTTGTAGTAAAATCAAAGTATTCACCAGATGGACATTCTTGTGCTGCTTTTACACAATCTGTATCTTTAAGAGCATAACCATTTGGACATGTTGTACATATATGAGAACTTGTTTCGCATGATGCACAATCAGATTTATAACGAACACATTTTCGAAGATTACGATCTTATTAAAGAATAAAATAATATATTATTAAAAATTTTGATTGACTTCATTTTCTTTACCCGTATAATAATTAGTGGGACACGACTCGGCACATATCATTGTATCATGTATAAGAAAGAAACCATATTTACAACTGACACAACTATTTTCGCTAGCATTACGACATGAACCACATTTTGAGTGACAAGGTAAACATGATTTATCAGTTTCAGATGGATAAGTACCTTCAGGACATATACCAACACAGCGACTAAATATAAAAAACATCATTAAAGTAAAAAGACATAATTAAGATAGAAAAATTTCTTTCAATATTTACTCACAACTTTCCATCCGTTAATGGTTGTTTATAATGTCGACATGCTGTACAACTTGTATCATTATTACCACATGGTTCTTTAGGATTACATTCGACATGACACTAAAATATACACATGATAGGTATTAGAGTTTTAATAAAATTTTTCAAGCAACTCATGCTATAAATTTCAAAGAGAACAATACATGAAAATAACTATGCAATTTTCAATTAATTGAAAGAGCAAACTAGAAGATAAGCGTTAATCTAATTACATAACTTTACTTAACACTTATTATTATTATTCACGCCATTTTATGATGTATAAAAATTCTATATGATAATTCAATGAATCCATAGTACAACAGCAAGCTAACTCATGATATTCTTAACATAAAGCTTTTTTTTTAATCTCGTATTGTTTTCTCAATAATAATTAACAGTATTTCTGTGTCAATTTTTTAGCTTAAAGTTAAATTACAAGCGACTGTTCACTTTATTTAAAGTAGAAAAAATAGTAACGATAGAAAAACAAAATCTATCCAGAAGAAAGACCACGTATACTGAGAAGTAACAGAAGATTATTCCTGTTCGACATTGATATGTATAGTAAGATAAAAGCAAGGCATTTTCTATTATAAATAAGTACAACAATAATGATATTCTCATAGCTAATGAACAAAAGGCAAACGCTTATTACTCATGTATAACTACAACTAATATATTGACAAAATAGGTATGTAGAAAATAAATTATTATTACACAGTAAAAACAAATTTAACTAGCAATAATAAAAAATTAATAGAATAAATATCAAAATATCAAAATATGAATAAATAGAGGAAATATAATAAGCAAACGACAACCATAGATGGCTACTTACATTAGATTGATTAGTTTCAGATGACAAACGAGGTGAGACTGGATAATCACGTGTACTATGAACGATAAGTTGCCAAGATATTAACTCAGCTAGAAAAATAAAGACAGTTGTTGATTTCAAACAAACCATCAATATCATGAAAGTCAATACATCGTTTTTTAAATTGTTTTCATAAAGTCAAACTCTATTGTATGCTTCTAAGGAAATCTTTGCAAGTTGAAAATCGCTTTTGAGTTCGTATTTTCTACATAGGACAGAGTTTCATAAAGCATTAAAAATATCAAAACAATAAGGATCTCTGAACAGTCACTACATGGTTATAGTCGTTTCACTGTAATTTTGTCCTTTGATAGACAATAGCTATGTAGTGAAGGTCTCAGATCTCTTATCATTTCGATACTTTTAATATCTCATTGAAGTCTACCTTATGCACCGGGCCCGAACTTCAAAGCAATTTTGAAATTGGCAAGGTTCCGTCGTCAGATTGTTCCTCTGCTATTCATTTCTGATGCTAAAGTGGATAGACATCTTTCTATATTTTTCTTTGCAGTTCTATTGGATACTATTAAGAACGATCGATATTAACATTTTAAATGACGATTACTACATGATTCTCCTTTTCTTTCACCTAGTTTAATATACGTACTATGGTTTGCCGTAAAACATGCACTTTTTTCCTTCAACTTCATTTATATTCATCGATTCTTTACCTGATCCTCCACCTGTATTACATATTTGTAGTTTCCATAGTTCATGAGGATTTTTAAACCATAATTGTACTGTTAAAAAAGCCCAATTGGCAAAACATTGATCACTGTGATCGTTAGCTTGTCTCTAAGTTAAATATATTAATAACATATCTTATTAAAATAACTATTGATTCTTACTGGTAAAATTGTTGTTTTTGTATTTGATAGTGAGTAAAGATAGATTTCTATTTCTCCTCAATTAGTCGTCGATAAATCTACAAATACTTGTACTTGTTCAATACAATTTACTTGACTTTTTATATCACCACTATTTTTGCATACTTTTAAATCAACAGAAAATGTTTCATTTGACTTTGACTTTATAGTCTTTTTTGGATTATAAGTCATTGATTCACATGTTGACATAAGTGGAACATTTTTCCAACCGCTTGCATACCAAGTCATTAAACCAGCATCCATAAGATCAAAACCATATCTACTACTGACTAGAAACGAAGAAAAACAAGTCTTATAAATGAAGATGAAAAAGAAAATAATTGTACCATTCATTCCAGCTGCATTTTGAATAACTTCTGTATTCGATGGAAGGGTGTGGGTGCGGGTGTGCGTATGTATCATCTGGCACCCAAACTCACGCCCACACCCACACCCAATCAGAGTATATCACAACGATATCAATCAATACTTACGCAAGAGATTTTGTTTGATGAAAGTCAAGCAATAAAACTTCAAAAAAGCTCTTGGATCAGACTGTTAATGAATTCAATGAAAGGGCAAATCAAAAAGAGAAAAGAAAGATACAGATTTCTTGTTAGAAAAGATATTTTTTACTTGATGAAAAAAAACGATAAAACAGGAAAAAAACAAAAAAAACCTGCTTATTTAAAAATATAGTATTCGTCATCATCCTAGATCAACAATTAATGGTTCATTCAGATGTCCTGCTAAGATTTTTAGAAAACGAACCACCACCGTTGCTTGTTGACTTAAATATTGATCATTACCGGAAATAAATTCAGTTAAGATTGAATCTATTTCATCACTTGACATTGGATGTTCATCATGAGCCTTTTCAACACGTTGTTTTTTCAACGCATTTACTGATCGTGCCAGATCGAAGATGGTCAACTTTGGATCATATTTCTTGATAAGATCGATTAAATCTGGAAATTTTTCTTCTCCTTGTAATGAATATATACGTTCATCACGTGCAGCTCTTTTCGATAGACCTGGTTTGATATATCTAATCATTTTGTTGAGAAGTTGAAATGCTATGTTCCCCATCTGTATCACATTAATGTTACTTTCCATTTCTTCCAATGCCAATACACGAGATTTTAGTACACCAACGTCATTTTCTAACATAGAAATATTTTTTTCCATTTGAATGAATAATTGTCGTAAGTCGATTTTCACAATATCAATTCGAATCAAATCATCTTCATCAGTTATCATTTCTGCTAACAAGACATCCAATTGATCAATAATATCATTAAGTAATTGTTGAGTTGTTTTTTGCTTGACTGTTCCTTCAATGGATTTCGTGCATTCACTAGCTTCTTTTGGTGCATTGAATTCTGACGAGCTTTTATTGTTTTCAAACATTAGAACATATGTTTGCTCGATTAACATACGTAATGAAATTTCATCATCATTTGTATACTGACCAAGAAGAGATTCCAACTGTTGTTTAAATGTGCTTGACATCGGTAGACGAGACACAATTAACTTGAATTTTTCGACAACATCTAAACAGAAAAATCAATAGATAACAATTTATTAAATAAACAACAAGCTGAAATCTTCTTTCAAGAATTATCCCAACGTTTGTTTTCGTAATAAAAGTAGAAGAAGAAACTTTTCCACTGAATCAAATATTTATAATCGGAATCAAGTTTCTAAAGAACACCAATCAACTACTCACTTTCGTTATTCATTTTCGATTGATAATGCCGATGTGTGACAACAGATTCACGATTTAAATTTATCTACTAACACGGAAAAAAAAGACCATGGAATGTTGATACCAAATTGATTCAAAAATTCGACTAACCTGAATCAAAAATATCCTCACCAAACAAGAACAAATAGAAATGATGATGATCAACAGAATAGATCTAAACAGGAGAAAAAAGAAAAAGTATTTTTTCCATTTGTTAATTCAAAAGAGATAAAGATCATTTAAACGAGAAAATACAAAACAATTCTGGAATCGAAATGAAAATTTACTGACTGAACTTAAGAAAAAAAAGAAAAGACTTAGGCTCGAAACAGACTAGACGAAATAATACTGAATTAAGAGATGTGATTGGTGTTTCTACATAGCAACACCAATTACATCTCTTAATTCAATATTAATTCGTCTAGTCTGTTTGGGGCCTTAGGCCGAAATCACACCGAACAAGTTAAAACTGAATTAACCAATAAAATCGCTAGAATCGTTAAAACGCACTTCATTTATCTTTTTGAGATGACTTAACTTAAACTGAACGTTCATACGCCAATCATAGAATAGCCTGATTGTACAATGGAAGATATACATGATATGTATAACGAGATTAGATAAAAAGAAGTGATGTCGCTTGAAGAGGGTGTGGGTGTG